TGTAATCAAAGCACAAAGCTGATTGAAAAGACCAGTGTTTTTGACTTGCTGATTCTTAGAGTGTGAAAATACTTGCGACTTATCCAAACTACACAGCGAACCTCTGATCATCCTCTGATCAATTTCTGCTTCTCTTGGTTTTTCTTGGTGAAGGACTTGCAGGGATAAAAATACAACTTTTGTTTACAGTTTTGCACCATAGTCGGTCTATTCCTGATAAGCTTCTCTCTGGGGTTTATCACAGGCTAGCACATTTTAAGAACTATAAAAGGTAAGCTGGTATTCTCAGCTATTTTTTTATCTGTAGGGATCTTAGTAGGACCTGGGGGAAAAAGATGTCTTTTGGCAACCTACCTATATTGAGTGCTTTTTCTGGCTTTCCGAGCATTGGTTCCAAAAGCCTCTCTGCCTGCTCATCTTTCTTTTTAATTATATTTTGTAGCAACTTCCCCCACCACTATATATATATATATATATATATATACATACACACACACACACACACCACTCCTGCTGATTTTTGTGTATATCAAACTCACTTAAAAGACTCCCTTGCTTGAAAGGTACTCCCCAGTAGCAAATAAGTGTCAAATTGTGGTGTTTATGCTGTGCTGTGTTTAGACTGACCGTGGTTTGCATTGGCTGGCTGCCACCCAGCTCTGCCTCCGGGCTTCCCTTTGTGTGAAGAAACAGCAGGCATTGGGAGCTGTAAGGGGCTAAAGTGTGTCCTTTGTGCTCCTCGGAATTTAGAGTCATCCGACAAAATCCTTTCCATTACAGGTAGACAATATGAACTAATGCAATCAATTAAAATATTAAATATTTTTCTCCAAGCATTATTGGTATAAGTACAGTTCTTCCTGAGATGGAAGAATTTATAATGACTGTTTTACTGAATGGTCTATGGACCGGAATTATTATTATTATTATTATTATTATTATTATTATTATTATTATTATCTTTATTTGTACCCCGCTAGCATCTCCCGAAGGACTCGATGCAGCTTACAAAGGCCAAGGCCTCAATAAAACAACAATACAACAATACACATAAACCATAAAGCAAATCAAAACATTAAACAATAACAGTAAACAGTAAAAACTGATTTGGAAGAATAAAACTAAGGCCGGGCCAAGTGTAGATGGGTACAGATTAAAAGTGCTGAGTATGACAGTTGAAATATAAGGATTTTTGGGTAAGTGCAATGTGCGGACAATCTTAAGCTCTAATAAAGTACTTCTGGGACGTGTTGCTGGAGTTTCCTATTCTGGAAAGGCTGCCAACGTAGAGGCATGTCTGATGTCCTTGGGGAGGGTGTTCCAGAGTCGGGGGGCTACCACAGAGAAGGCCCTGTCCCTCGTCCCCACCAACTGCACTTGCGACGCAGGTGGGATCGTGAGCAGGGCCTCTCCAGATGAACGAAGAGAGCGTGCAGGTTCATAAATGGAGATGCGGTCACGCAGGTAGGCAGGTCCCAAACTGTTTAGGGCTTTGTAGGTGAGCACCTGCACCTTGAATTGGGACCGGAAAATAAACGGCAGCCAATGGAGCTCCTTGAACAGGAGGGTTGACCTCTCTCTGTAAGGAGCACCAGTTAACATCCTGGCCACCGCCCATTGGACTAACAGAAATTTCCTAGCCGTTTTCAAGGGCAGCCCCACGTAGAGCGCATTACAGTAGTCCAATCTAGAGGTGACCAAGGCATGGACCACCCCGGCCAGATCAGTAATAAAATTGTTACTGTTGTTGTATATGTAAAGTGACTGGAAAACACTTCTATTTGACCTTTAATGTATGCAACCATCTGATGTGGAATTGGGACCCATGCATAAATTCAGATGTTTATTGTATAGCTTAGCAGACATTGTGCTTTTGCAAATATGATGAGAGAAACTGTATGGTTGAGCAAATGAATATTTAAACCAATGCAGTCAATGGTATAATATAGATATGCTGAGCTTTTTTGAACATTTATCAAAAATATGCAATAGCTTCAGACATGTCTGCGTTAGAGTTGGTCACAGCAAACCACCCGCCTTGTGGTCTGTGTTGTTTCCAGCTTGCCCACAAAATTACTCCCCTAAGTTAATGATAGAACCACAATTACAGTGTACAGTATGGCCCCTTCCCTTCACTGCCTCGTGGAAAAATGTATCTAAGGACATTTAACATATTTGTCGTGAAATATGGTTAGTTGCATATTTTCATGAGAGGCCAGGCTGCTCAGGAGGGTAAGCAAGGATACAAATTGTTATCACTGTGGAATAGTTAGTAAGACCCACCCATGTCTGTCGTAATAGCACATTATCAAGAAGCTGCAAGCATCTGACCAGTTGCCAGCATTCAGGAACAGTAAATGCTAGGAGCTTCAACCACATCTGGCCAAAGAGATAAATGGATTACATTCTCAGGAAATGTTTTTTTGCATAAGCTGTTTTGCTCACCCAGTCTGTACACAGAGATTTTAGAACACATTCACAGATAATTCATGTATATCATGAACTCTTGCTTTTTAGAAGAGTTTGAAACTTATGTTTGGGACAGAAACATCTATTTAAATATATTTTTTGTATAAACTATCCATATTGAACCATGATATTTAAAGTGGTATCAAACTACATTCATTCTAGTTTAAAAACCAAGGTTTCAAAACAAGGAATTATGCTCCCCCTTCCTTTTCCATGTACATTGTTCTTCTTGAAACTTAAATGTTTATTCAAGGAAAGTTTTCCCCTTTCCTTTTAGAAGATTCTTATGTGTTATCTTTCAAAATAATTTTTTTTGTCGTGTCAGGAGCGACTTAAGAAACTGCAAGTTGCTTCTGGTGTGAGAGAATTGGCCGTCTGCAAGGACATTGCCCAGGGGACACCCAGATGTTTTGATGTTTTTATCATCTTTGTGGGAGGCTTCTCTCATGTCCCCGCGTGAGGAGCTGGAGTCGATAGAGGGAGTCATCAGCCTCTCCCCGGATTTGAACCTGCGACCTGTTCTGCTGGCACAGGGGTTTAACCCACTGCGCCACCGGGGGATCCTTCAAAAGAATTGAAATTCAGAAATTTTAATTGTCCATAAAATGTAGAAATGTTGAGTGTCGAATACAAAGAAAAGCAAAACCAAGAGCAAAGCCGTAGTATACTGTTTCAAAGTACTACAATAAACCATAGCTTGTTAAACTTTTCCACTCATGACCCTTTCTGGCATGATAATTTTTTGCATGACCTGGGTGTATTTTAAATTATTTTAGTTGCCATCAATATTAAGCTAAGTGAACCCCATTTGGAGTCAAGACCTACAGTTTAAGAAGTCCTGCAATAAACCGTAGTATAGGTAAAGTTTTCTCCTTGACATTAAGTCTAGTTGAATCATAGAATCATAGAATCCAAGAGTTGGAAGAGACCTCATGGGCCATTCAGTCCAACCCACTGCCAAGAAGCAGGAATATTGCATTCAAATCACCCCTGACAGATGGCCATCCAGCCTCTGTTTAAAAGCTTCCAAAGAAGGAGCCTCCACCACACTCCGGGGCAGAGAGTTCCACTGCTGAACGGCTCTCACAGTCAGGAAGTTCTTCCTCATGTTCAGATGGAATCTCCTTTCTTGTCGTTTGAAGCCATTGTTCCTTGTCCTAATCTCCAAGGAAGCAGTAAACAAGCTTGCTCCATCCTCCCTGTGGCCTCCTCTCACATATTTATTCATGGCTATCAAATCTCCTCTCATCCTTCTCTTCTTCAGGCTAAACATGCCCAGCTCCCTAAGCCGCTCCTCATAGGTCTTGTTCTCCAGACCCTTGATCTTTTTAGTCGCCCTCCTCTGGACACATTCCAGATTGTCAATATCTCTCTTGAATTGTGGTGCCCAGAATTGGAAACAATATTCCAGGTGTGGTCTAACGAAAGCAGAATAGAGGGGTAGCATTACTTCCCTAGATCTAGACACTAGTTGAGTCCGACTCTGGGGGGTGGTGCTCATCTCCATTTCTAACCTGAAGTGCCAGCATTGTCTGTAAATGCCTCCTAGGTCATGTGGATGACGTGACTACATGGAGCACTGTTTCCTTCTCACTGAAGCAGTACCTATTGATCTACACATATTTGCATATTTTTGAACTGCTAGGTTAGCAGAAACTGAGGCTAGCAATGGGAGCTCAGCCATCCCATGAGTTCAAACAGTCGACCTTCTAATCAGCAAGTTCTGTAGATTGGCAGTTTAGCCCGCTGCACGATCGTGACTCCTCTAAACCATAGTATACTGTTTCAAAAGTTAGCCTTTCAGTAAATACATTAGTACAGTTGCAAGATCTTAATAAGTGCAATTGTATATGTGACTACTTAGAAGCAAACTCCATTACAACCAGTGGAATATACTGTAGATCATGAACTCTGTAAAATAAGTGGATATGGCTAGGATTGTGGTGCCCTTCAGAATCTTCGCTCAGATGCCCTAGCTCTCTCTATATCATTTCAAAGGAATTAGAAAATTGAGGTGCTCACATTCTGCAAAATAGCTGCCAGGTACCAGACATTTTTTAAAAAACAAACAAACCGACATTCTTTAACTCTTTCTCTGTTATTATTATTTATTATTATTTATGTATGGTATTTCTACCCCATAACTTCTCTAACCCCGAGGAGGGAATCAGGATGGCTTACAATAGGCACTGATATGATGCCGATACATAACAATCACAATAATACAACCACAATTGAGCATAAATCATAATTAAAACAATACATAAGCAATAATTATGTATGCATTGTGCTCATTTTCATGAATTTCAATACCAGTTGAAGGGGGAAAGGGAATAACCCACACTTAATGTCTAATTTATCCCACATACCAAGCTGTACCTCCAAGGAGGGTAGGGAGATTGGGACTGGATGGTGTCCTAGATTATTGTTTGATCTCATTGATGGAAGATAATAACTGAGTATGTAAATAGTTTGCCTAGAAGTGTCATAAAATGTATTTATCATAAAAACTTTCTCTAAATGCATTGCAGATATTTTGGCCAGCGGCAAAGGAGAAGGTGGATCTGTGTAAACTAGCTGGAAAAGATGCCCATGTAAGTATCATGCACAGGTAATGGCTACATATGAAAAGAAAATCTTAGAGTTATTAAGATGAACACAAGTTGTCAAGGTATGGCAAGATAGTCTGTTGTGAATCCTCTGACACTACATGGAGATCCCCCCTAACCTTCCCACTGAATGTTTTCTGCAAAAAATGAGTACCTCTTCCATTTATAAATAATACACATAGAAATAAAATTGGTGGTGCTGTTTCATTATCTGGGTGGAAGCCACAAGGAGATGCTAGACATGTTGTTGTTCATTCATTCAGTCGTCTCCGACTCTTCGTGACCTCATGGACCAGACCATGGCAGAGCTCCCTGTCGGCTGTCACCACCCCCAGCTCCTTCAAGGTCAGTCCAGTCAGTTCAAGGATGCCATCCATCCATCTTGCCCTTGGTTGGCCCCTCTTCCTTTTACCTTCCACTTTCCCCAGCATAATTGTCTTCTCTAGGCTTTGCTGTCTCCTCATGATGTGGCCAAAGTACTTCAACTTTGTCTCTAGTATCCTTCCCTCCAATGAGCAGTCGGGCTTTATTTCCTGGAGGATGGACTGGTTGGATCTTCTCGCAGTCCAAGGCACTCTCAGAACTTTCCTCCAACACCACAGCTCAAAAGCATCGATCTTCCTTCGCTCAGCCTTCCCTAAGGTCCAGCTCTCACATCCGTAGGTTACTACAGGGAATACCATGGCTTTGACTAGGCGGATCTTTGTTACCAGACATAGGATAGTCCATTTTACAGGGGTGGAGGGTAGGTTGAAGGAGGAAAACCATTTTCCCCTATTTTTGTGTTATCCCCCCCCTCCCACACACACACACAGCTATGTCCCCATGATGGAAACAACCCTCATTTATGACATGGGAAGTAGGGAAGAGAAATAATCAGTGAAAACCAGGGGAATGGTTTTCCTCCTTCAACCCACCCTCCACTTCTGTAAAATGGACCATCCTTCTCTCTTTAGCATCCCCTTGTGGCCTCTGCCCAGATAATGGAACAGTGCCAAATTGGCTAATTGATCACAAAAATCCAAAATAAGTATTATTCCTGACTTCTAACTACCAAATGCATGAGGTCAGCAGTTACTGACTGCATTATTTCATTTTGTACATTTTAGAGCCGGCTTGTGAGACAGCAAATCTGAAACAAACACATGAATAAATTGTTGCCATTATGTAGTGAGAAGAAACACCCTGTATTATCTCATTTATCATGCGAAGATGAACCAAGACATAACTTACATAATTCATGCTAATTAATATCTATACATTAATATAGATATCAGTGCTTGAATGGGTGCTCATGGTGGTTACCATCATGGTTTTCCTCTTCTTTTTCTTCCTCATCTTTGTTTACATTCTGTTTTCCTCTTAAAAATCAAGACTTATGTGGGAATGGAGAATTACTTCAATGACCCATTGGAGGTGCCATATGCTTTCATGCACAGACTTTGAAGACCCCCTTTGACCACCAAAATCCATGGGTGGCCAAGTCCCATTGTATACAATGAAATAGTAGAATGGCATCCTTTATATCAGGGGTCCTCAAACCTTTTAAACAGAGGGCCAGGTTGCAGTCCCTCAAACTGTTGGAAAAAAAATGAATTAATTCCTATGCACACTGCACATATCTTATTTGTGGTGCAAAACCACTTAAAAACAACACAATAATTAAAATGAAGAACAATTTTAACAAATATAAACTTATTAGTATTTCAATAGGAAGTGTGGGCCTGCTTTTGGCTGATGAGTAGGATTGTTGTTGTTGTTGTGTGCTTTAAAGTCATTTCAGACTTAGGTTGACTCTGAGCGAGGGCTGGCTAAAAGACCTTGGAGGGCCGCATCCGGCCCCCGGGCCTTAGTTTGAGGACCCCTGCTTTATATTATATGGCAAAATAAAGGTTTGGTATTTTGAAATTCTTTGGGGGTCGATGTGAAATCCATGCATACCAAATCTGTTGGTGCAGAGGGCAGACTGCATGTTCAGCTTGGCAGTACTACTTAACTCCACAAAATAGTGCCATTTGTTCCCACACCACAAAATTGTGGTAGACCATTCCCTTTCCCTGATAGTAATACATGAAAGCAATTGCATTCCCAGTTACAGAAGTACACTAATGTCCCCTGGGTAAATGAGAGAAGAGATTTTAGGGAAACTGTTATGTAAACATGGTTGACCTCAATCATGATGAGATTCCCATTTACTAAAACATATTACTTTTTACTTTATGCTTTCATTTAAACTTGCAGCATCAATAGTGCTGCTGCTAGACATCTCGATTGCCATTCTTTTGAATGATTTATCTGCAGTGATAAAGTAAAAGAACCAGCACCAACCTAGAAGCATTGTTAGGGGTAGAGAAGATATCACTTGGTGTTCACTTCCCCCTCAACTGCGTGGCTGGAAGTGTATCCTAGTCTTATATCTTTGAAAGGTGTGCACTTAGAAAAGTAGTGGCCTACTGGTGGACATACCATCAAATATGCTTACTAAAGAAAGAACAAAATAAAAGTTTTGACTGCTACCACCCATCATGTCAATAATAATAATAATAATAATAATAATAATAATAAATTATTTATACCCTGCTATCATCTCCCAAGGGACTCGGTGTGGCTTACATGAACCCGAGCCCACAATACATCAATACAAGCAATAATAATTACTAGGGCTGGGCAACCACAGAAAAATTTGTTTCTAAATTCGATTCGTTTTTAGGGGGTTTTTGCGTTTCGATTTTTAAAAGAATTCCGAAATTTTCCTAAATTTTTTTTCGTTATTTACTAAATTTCGTAAATTACGAATCAATTACGAATCGATTTCGGAACAATTACGAATCGATTCGTTAATGGCGGGCGCGATCGCGCAATATGCTAAAAAACCCTCCAAATGGGACAGGAAGCTTCCCTCGCCCTCTGTTGTTGACTGTTGGTGTGATAATTTATTTTTTTTCACTGAGAAAACAAACAGCAACCCTAAAACTTGCACCAGACATGCGGAAATAATAACGAAACGATTTCGAATCAATTACGAATAGATTTCGAAACAATTACGAAACAATTACGAAACGAATTGAAAAAATTCGTTTAGTTTTTTAGTTGCTCCTGAATGGTTCAATATCGCTTCGTTATAAAAAAAATAACGAATTAATAACGAATTACGAAATTAACGAACGAAATTGCCCAGCCATAATAATTACAATACAAAGCAAAATACTAATACTAATACAAAGCAATTAAAATAAATCTCATACACAAATAGCTTAAACATTGAACAGTGGCATAAAAAATGAGCTTTTCAAAAATTTTCCAGATCCTCTCCCAAAGTGCCCTCCTCCTTTCACCTCTTACCATTTTTCAGAGGAAAAGAATTGACCCAGCATTGGTTTCTTTATGATGCTACAATTTGATAAAATGCTATGAGAATGTGGCTGGATGATAAAGAATAATTGATCTGCAAAAGGAAAAGCTTTGATAAGGCAAGGTTTCTACTTATCCTCTTTCGTTATGATTAGTTTGTAATGAATACTTCAACTCAGATGACTTTAGCAAGAGTGAATGTTGATGTTTCAATGACGCCATGGACTGAACCTGAGTAGGAAGGATAGTTGGTGAACTGTAGCAACAGTTGATAATGTTGTGGAGGAAGAATATTCATTACCAAACAGTGTTTGTTGACCTCCATAATTCACCGTGATTCCTTTGAAGTCTACAGGAGGGATAATTTATGTGAATTTATTATTTTTAATTCTGGCTTTTGAAAAATAAAAGCCAACTGCTGAAAGGAATGTGCTGAGCACAGCTTGATGATCACTACTGTGAAATTTCTGGATTAATATTATAGCCAGCAACAGTTCATTAAGACCCCTGATGCTGGTTTATACAGAACTGTGCAAACAAAATGTCAGAGATGTGAAAGTAGTAGACTACTGCTTAAATTCCTTTAACCAAGGAGGTAGGGAGTTGAATATGTTAAAGAAAAATATGTTAATGCAAAATGCATCTGGAATTGCTAAAGTAGGATCATGGATTTTGTTTAGGACCGAAATACCTCCACCAACATCATCCATGTTGACTAGACTCAGGAAGTTGTAGTCCAGAAGTTATGCTTCACAAGCTATAACTGTGGTCCCCTAATCCTCCTTGCCAGGAATGTGCTTTATTTTATTATTTCTCCCACCTTTACCACTAGTAACTGCCACTCCATTTTCTCAGTCATTACTGGACTCACACAATGGCTCAGCACAGACATCATGCCAAAATGGACTTTCACAATTTTCAGTTCAGTCCCAGGTTTGAGCTTTCAGATATGCAGTAGGCAAAGTGTATTGCTGATGCAAACGTCTACTTTTACTGTGCATTATATGAGGGGTATTTTTAAGTAAGGTCCATTTGAACATAAGTACACAACGCAAGTTTATTTCAAAAAAGTAAATTTATTTTCAGAAAGTACATACTTCACTCTATTTTTCGACATAGTTGCCAAGTTTGTTCAAACACTTATCATACCTCTCAACCAATTTTAAAATACCTTCTTCACGAATCCTCGCTTCAACTGAAGCCACCAAATTGTCTGTAATCAAAGAAGGCCTACCGGAGCGGTCCTCATCATGGACGTTGTCACGGCCATCTTTGAATTGTCGTACCCACTTACGCACTTTGCTTTCACTCATAACAGTATCACCGTACACTTCACAAATCTGTCGATGAATTTCTGCAGCAGGCAGGTTCCTTGGTGACAAAAACAGTATCACTGAACGAACCTCACATGCGGCGGGTGAGTTGATAGTCTTAAACATTTTTAAAGCACAGAACAGAATCGTACAGGTTAGCTACAACTGAGCACAGTTGTTCCCGAGGCATGCCGGTACACGACGCACATGCTTGTTGCAAACTACTAGTGTGTACAACAAAACGGACCTTACTTAAAAAATACCCCTCATACTTCATAAAATTTAGAAATCCTGCCGAGTTTACTGGGTGCAGCACCTTTGATGTGAAGCATTGCTTTTTTATTCAGATGTTAAGCTAACATACAATGATTTGTGATTTGTCTGTCATTTCAATCATGGTCCAAAAATGAAAATGTCAACCCATTATTAAGCACAGTGATAGTGTGGTATAAAATGATATTTTAAAATAATAAACCCCATAGTCTTAAAAGGCCAGTGAAATTTCTCCATGTTATTACCACTTTTTTGGATCCTGTGGACTACATTTTCCTGGTCACTAAAAATATAACAGCATGCTGTGTGAATTTTCCACTGTTGATGATTAACCGGTATTTTTTTCACAATAGACAGAATGTGCCAACTTCATTCGAGTCCTCCAGCCTTACAACAGGACTCATGTTTATGTCTGCGGTACAGGAGCTTTCCACCCAGTCTGTGGCTACATAGAGCTTGGAACACACAAAGAGGTAATTTAATCCATTCCCAAATGGTGCATGACAGGGTATGGCTCTAACTTTCCCTAGCATCCATCATTCCCTGGAAAATGGTCTATGGCTGTATAAAAAATGATCTGACAACCCTTTATACAAACAGCAGAGTAATGTTCAGGTTTTTACCAGTTGTGTTAGAACTCATGTTCTCACACTTTCTGATATGTGCATATCACATGTTGGCAAACCTTTATGTTCAAGCAAGGTGATTGATATAGTTCTACCTAGACTTGCTTTTCAGATGATTGATTGTGTAAAGAACACATTTCGGGCCAGATGCCTTGCAATACTTTCTCCTGGTAGGCAATCACAAAATATTAAAAGAATCCCTGCTGAATCATTAATCTTTCTAGATTACTCTCTATATCTCATGTGTTCCTCAAAGTTATAGACTGGCTAAATAAAATAAGAATGGTAAAGAATATTTCACACTTACTCATACCAATTAATAGTATACAAAACAATACAGTTCCTAATTTTTGTAGCAATAGTTAATTGGTGATACCAATAGCATTATTTGATGTCATTACACCACAGTTACTACAGGAATTAGCAGTTCTATTGTTACTAATTCTAAATTAAAGCTTTCATAGTATAGGGATGATTTTTTCTCTTTGTCCTAGAGTTGAAATGCATGATCAGCACCCCATAAAGACATAAACAAAGAAAAAAAGAAAACCAAGAAGAGGAAATTAATCTTAATATTCTTAGAAGTGAGCATAGGTTTTCTTTACCTAAAAACAATGTTTTGCTAGGGGTTGCCAAGTTCTTTTTATTTAGTTTTGTAACTTCAAAAGACCAGATGAATATTATACTAATTTCTATAATGATCCAACAACTCTGTCATAAGGTTTTGAAGTCTTGACTTTAATCTTTTGTTGGGAAAGCAAAAGATCAAGATGTTATTCCTTTCTCAAATGAATTTTTCATACCTGCTGGTCAGCATTTGGACCTGCCAACTATCTGCAGTCTGATATCATTTTCTATAAATGCCTGGCTGGAAGTTATATGCCTTGCAATCTGGTTTGAAATCATAGCACCATGAGATTAAAAAACTAGACTTTCTCCCCATGATGCCAAATTTCATTAGCATTTCATGCAAGTAAGGTCTCCTTATTTTCTGATATAGTAAACATGAAGATGTAAAGGCATAGATTTGCCCGGTTGGATTCGACTAGAATTCAGTCTCCTCTGTCATTCATTTAGATGCCTCTAGGACAGTGGTTCTCAACCTTCCTAATGCCATGACCCCTGAATCCAGTCCCTCATGTTGTGGTGACCCCCAACCATAATATTGTTTTCTTTGCTACTTCATAACAGTCATTTTACTACTGTTATAAATCATAAAGTAAATATCAGATATGCAAGATGTATTTTCATTCACTGGACCAAACTGGGCACAAATACCCAATGCAACCACATATAAATCCTAGTGGGGTTGGGGAAAGATTGATTTTGTAATTTGGGAGTTGTAGTTGCTGGGATTTATAGTTCACCTATAATCAAAGAGCATTCTGAACTCCATCAGTGATGGATTTGAACCTAATTTGCCACACAGAACTCCCATGACCAACGGAAAACACTGGAAGGGTTTGGTGGGTATTGACCTTGAGTTTGGGAGTTGTAGTTCACCTATATCCAGAGAGCACTGTGGACTCACGCAATGGTGGATCTGGACCAAACTTGGCACAAATACTGAATATGCGCAAATGTGAACACTGGTGGAGCCTGGGGAAAATAGACCTTGACTTTTGGGAGTTGTAGTTGCTGGGATTTATAGTTCACTAGAATCAAAGAACATTCTGAACTCCACCAATGATAGAATTGGCTCAAACTTCCCACATGGAATCCCCATGACCATCAGAAAATACTGTGTTTTCTGATGGTCTTTGGCAACCCCTCTGACACCCCTTCTCAACCCCCTCAGGGGTCCCGACCCCCAGGTTGGGAAACACTGCTCTAGGAAGCTCACATACTGAATATAGTTGTAAAAGCTTTCCTCAAGTATCTTACAATCTCTTCACATGTCCCTTTCAGTCTATGCCATTGTGCCGGCAATTGCCGATAATAATAATAATAATAATAATAATAATCTTTATTTATACCTCGCCACCATCTCCCCGATGGGGACTCGGAGCGGCTTACATGAGGCCAAGCCCAAACAACAAATTACAATAGAGTAAAACCGAAAACGCAAACCAAAAACGCAAATAATAAACAACAACATCATAATTACATAAAACATGTGAATATATAAATATATAAAATATGTGAATAATTAAAAACTAATTAAAAACTCGGGCGAGATAAAAGAGAAGCAGGTTATGAAAGGGAAAGCTCAAGGGGCAGCTTGTGGTGCCCTATACACCCTCCTTCCTTCCCTCATCACATTGAGGGGACAGGAGACGGTGCTTTAGTCCCTTCCCCTCCCTTCATCAGATGGCAGAAAAGGAGGCAATGTGCAGCAATGCCCGTTTCCCTGCTGCCCTTTCTGTCATCACACAGGGAAACTAATGGGAAATTGCGGGAAAGCTTAGTTTGCATAGCAAACTAAGCTTTCCTCCTCTACTTTAGGAGAAATATGGGTGGGGTCTGCCGTGCGTGATATGATGGTTCATGGCAGATCCTGTCCTTGCCATGCATAAAATCAGCAAAATAAGGCAAAGAAATGCCTCGTGTGAAGAGGTCCTTATATTCAAAGACAGAATAACTTTGTCATTGCCTTAATATCTGACTACTGAAGGTAATAATAGTTATTAGTTGTCCTGCTCCACCCTTTCAGGTTTTTGTCCATTTTAAGGATATTAAATGGTTAAATGTGTTTATTTAGAGTAATATTAAAGAATATTGAGACTTTGTAAATTCTTCTTAATGGAAATTACATTGTTATAATAGAAAAATATCACAAGTGTGGAACTCCTGAGACCCAACATGAATTGGTGGTTCTTGATGTGTTTTTGTCATCTTGGATTGATTTCCACGTGTAAAGGCTTATTGAACTTGCCTACATGTGTTATTTATTGCTGATGGATATGTGCAAATGTGAGAAGAAAATCCATTTCCTCACGTGTACCTTGAAGTCTATAGCCATTAACTCCACTGTAGTATAAAGTGGATGGATGATCTGGTTGCTCCTCTCTATCTAGTCTGGCCCTTTTTGGATCAAATCTCACGTCTTGTTTTCTTATGAAATATTTGTTGACAAGCAACAGAGATAAGCCAGTTGAGTATAAGACCCACACAATGACAGAAACACCAATGCCAATTTATTGTGTCTAGACTTTGCACTAGTTCGCACACAGTTTGTGCCTTTCATTGAGATGTAGCCTCTCTGAATCATACTGCATTCTACATGATCGTAAGATCAAGCGAGCTTTTTAGTTTATATGTGATGCAGTGATTCTATGAAGTTAATGGAAACCTGCATCCAGGAAAAAAAATTAGCAAGAAGTAGAAAGCTGTAGAAAAAAACAGGATTTGACCAAACTCTGTTCAATATCTTTTTATTAATCAATTATTTGATTAAAATATTTATCCCCTGCCATATAATCAAAGATCTCTTGGCAACTTACAATAAAATCAATTTACAGCAATGAATGATAACATTTGTCTAAAAGAATTTAAAAAATAATTCATTTAGCAATTAAAACCAGATGATTTGAAATTTAACAAAATCATTTGGAATAGTACAACCACAAGAGATGTGCATCCTGGGTAACATCAGATGTTTTAATAAAAAAGTTTTAGCTTGATGCAGAAATTGTACTAAAATTAGTGCCAGTCGGAGCTCCAAGGGAAGGGAATTCCATAACTACGATGCTACTACAGAAAAAGTCTTCTGTGTTCTCACACAATGTATTTTTTTACTGGTAGAACACAGAGGAGAACCTCTTCAATAGATCTCAATTTTCATGTGACCATGTATGGAAAGAAATATTCCCTCAGGTATTGTGGTCCTGAGACATTAGGGCTTTGTATATTATCCTCAGCACCTATAATTCAGACTGGAGATGCATTGGCAACCAGTGCAATTCCTTCAGAACTGGTGTTATATGGCATTTCAAGACTAGGAAGCAGTTTAGCATCTGTATTTTACAATAGCTGTATTTCCTTACTCATCTTCAGGGACAACCTCACTGTAATATTGTAATTAGAAAATTACCAGTGCATGGACTACTGTGGTTATACCTGTCCAGAAAACACCATAGCTAGTGGATCACTTGAAGCAAGTCCCAAGCAGCCTAAGCCTCCAGAAACAAAGACAGAGACAATGCCCCAGCTCCTTCATAGAAGTATGACCTGATCCAGGGCAGATAACTTACGCAATTCCCAGACCCAAGAGTCACCAGTTCATCAAGTTTTTGTCTTATGATTCAACTTCATTCAACCCATTACAGCATCCAGGCACTGGTTCAGCATGTTTCATAAATCCAGATGACTTAAGTGACAAGGAGAAGTAGAGCTAAATATTTCTATAGTATACTAATAAATGCTAATTTATTTATTTATTTATTTACAGTATTTGTATATGAGTCTTTATATCTGAAACCAGACATTCTGTTGCCTGAGTTACTAGCCTAATGAATATGTCCTTTATGTACAGGACGTAGTGTTCAGATTTGATGCTCAGAACTTGGAGTCTGGTAGACTGAAATGTCCTTTTGATCCTCAGCAGCCTTTTGCATCTGTCATGGCAGGTAAGAGTTCTGTTTTTGCCACAAAACGTGCATCATAGCATAAAGCCATTGAATTTAAGAACTAGATTTTAATGATGTTTGTGAACCTAAAGTCCTTGACACAAATGTCACTACATGCCAGCCATACCAATTTCTGTTTCATATTCAAATCTGCAATATTTGTAATGAGATTCTACATATAAGCTTGTAATAAGGATTGCATCCTTTGTTGTTGTTGCTCATTCGTTCAGTCATTTACGACTCTTCGTGACCTCATGGACCAGCCCATGGCAGAGCTCCCTGTCGGTCGTCACCTCCACCAGCTCCTTCAGAGTCAAGCCAGTCACTTTAAGGATGCCATCCATCCATCTTGCCTTTGGTCGGCCCTTTTTCCTTCCATTTTCCCCAGCATCATTGTCTTCTCTAAGCTTTCCTTCTTCTCATGATGTGGCCAAAGTACTTCATCTTGGCCTCTACTATTCTTCCCTCCAATGAGCAGTCAGGCTTTATTTCCTGAAGTATGGACTGGTTGGATCTTCTCGCTGTCCAAGACACTCTCAGAACTTTCCTCCAACACCACAGTTCAAAAGCATCTATCTTCCTTTGCTCAGCCTTCCCTATGGTCCAGCTCTCACATCCGTAGGTTACTATGGGAATACCATTGCTTTAACTATGCGGATCTTTGTTGCCAGTGTGATGTCTCTACTCTTCACTATTTTATCGAGACTGGACATTGCTGCATCATAGCAGTGTATATACTTGTGAAAAGCCAGACTGGTATAACAGTTTACGTGTTGGACTAGAAGTCTAGCTTCAAATCTCTGTTGAGCCATGGAAATCCAACGGGTGATTATGGATACATCATGCTTTTGTAGTCTATGGAATGATGGACCTCCTCTGTATAAATTTAATCAAACATACTCTATGATAAGGACCCTGCAAGCTGAAGCTGATGGGAAAGCAGGTAGCAATAGCAGATGTTTAAGTGCTTTATAAATTTGAAATTTGGTAATAGCCATTTTATTATTAAAATAATGATGGTGTTAGTGATTGTAGTGTCAATATGAATTTTAAATGCAATTCTTTATATCTACTTTATTTTAAATTTGTTTTTACACACTGTTACTATTTTTTTTAAAAAACTGCTTTGAGTCACCTTTGGGCGGAGAAAGGCGGTATATAAATACGGCAAATAAATAAATAAATAAATAAATGCATTTTAATGTTTACCTTAGCCTCCTTGAGTCCCCACAGGAAGAAATGTGGGGTATTAATAAAGATAATAACTAGGACATTAAGATCATCTGGGGAGGTCCTGCTCTCGGTCCCGCCAGCATCACAAGTACGCCTGGCGGGGATGAGAGACAGAGCCTTCTCAGTGGTGGCCCCTCGGCTGTGGAACACCCTTCCTACAGAAATCCGATCGGCCCCCTCCCTGTTGGTATTCCGGAGGAATGTGAAGACTTGGCTTTTCGAACAGGCATTCGAGTAGGCAGTGTAATAGATTATTGGAACACGGAATAAGGATAGATGAGATTGGATTCTGATTCTATTGACGAGACGCGAATGATTTGTCATATTGATGTTTAATTGTTGTTATGCTATTGTTTTTAAATCTTCCAATGGTTTTGTAATGTGTGCATTGAAATTGCTGCTGTTAACCGCTTTGAGTCACCTAAGGGATGAGAAAAGCAGTATATAAATGAAGTAAATAAATAAATAAATACAAATAATAATAACAACTACAACAATAATAAGAACAAGAACAACAGTGATTATAATGACACAATTTAATGCTTCAAGCCACAGATATAATCTGATAATGTATGATGCAGTTAGATTCCTGTATGCTTCCTGTATAGGAAACTGCCCTAATCTGCTCTGAGTTCTTTTGGAAGAAGAACGGCATATAAATAAAGCAAACCAGGGATGCAAAAGCATTCCAACTATTTACCCCTAAAGGGCTCAAGCTGTTATGAATGTTTCATCTCAATACTCACAAAGGCTTGAGGTTTTTGCAAATATTCAAATGGAAACAGAAAAGATAGTTACAACATGACTGCATTGCCTTTTCCCTCTTGCCATGCTTCAAGGGCCCCAACTACCCCCTCCTAAAAAAACCCACATATTGGTTTCAGATTTTTTTTCATTCACTGTATTATCCCACCGGACTAGTGAAAGCATATTGAGCATGACAATGTCACAGAGCTACGTAAGTTATTGGATTTGAAGAGATGAAATTATTATTAAGGGTAACAAATTAAATCCACACTAAGGACAAGCTTCCTTGGAATGCTCACTTGGATGTTTTATATTGACTGCTTTTCAGAGATGTGCAGACAGCTAGTTAGTTGTCATTTAGACAATTGTGCAATAATTTATTAAACTATATGAGGTTGGCTCCAACAAATACTTTTTTAGACCAAGTTTTTTTTTTTTTAATTCCTCTTGATTTCTTGTATCCTCTTCTATTTTGATTTGGGTGTTTTTAGCAGTCAGTTTGGAAATTCTAATGTATTGGGTTACACCTTTCCTCCATACATTTATTTTGGCATGCAGTTTTGTCTGAATATTTATGTGAGTAGTTACTACAATGCATTTTGGAAGTGATTTCACACACACACACACACACACACATGTCACAAGCATATGCATTTTCACTTTTTCTTCATATGCACTTGTCTCTGCATGCATTTTTTGTCTAAAGAACTTCCTCTCAAAATTCAGTGAAGTGTGAATACAGGATAACTATGTTATCATTCACATATATACATGTTTCTCTGTATATTTTATGGATTAGCCCATATATACATGGACTGTGTAAGTTAGGCATGCTATGTGTCAAGACCCAGAAGCCTCAAGAACGCCAAACACAAAGTAAAACCAAAAACAGGTTTATTGAACACAAAAATGCTTTAGAGGCACTTAACTCAGTGCCTCTAGCACAAACTAAGAGTCTATAGCAACCACGGAAAAATTTGTTTCTAAACTCGATTCGTTTTTAGGGGGTTTTTGCGTTTCGATTTTTAAAAGAATTCCGAAATTTTTCTTTAAAAAAGTTTGAAATTTACGAAATTTCAGAAATTACGAAACAATTACGAAACAATTACGAAACAATTACGAATCGATTCGTTAATGGCAGACGCGACCGCGCAATACGCTAAAAAAACCTCCAAATGGGACAGGGGGAACTTCTGAAGCTTCCCTCTCCCTCTGTTGTTGACTGTTGGTGTGATAATTATATATTTTTTTCACTGATAAAACAAACAACAACTATGAAACTTGCACCAGACATGTGGAAATAATAACGAAATGATTTCGAAACGATTTCGAAACAATTTCGAAACAATTACGAAACGAATTGAAAAATTCGTTTCGATTTTTAGTTGCTCCTGAATGGTTCAATATCGCTTCTAAGCTAATTTAAATACGAATTAATAACGAATTACGAAATTAACGAACGAAACCGCCCAGCCCTAGAAAATAGCTACATAAAAAACTCAACTTAAATATAATCCGGATTATCCTGGAGTATAATCTGGGATAACAAAAATATACAGCAATCTGCTTGAAATTCAAAAGGTCCAAAAGGCACAAGAAAACAAGGTGGGGGCATGCAAAATCGAGGTCCAAAAGCAATCCGAAGAGATGCTAAAAAAAAAGAGATGAAACAGTCCAAAAAGCATAGTCATCGTCAAAACACAGTCCAGAGTTAAAGGGGAGGTTGAAGTCAGCACTTACGGAGTTCCAGCCAGAAGTCACGGAAACACAGAAATCTGTAGTCCAAGGACCCAAACTTGAGAGTAATGGCAGTAACAAAGATCCAAACCCGATAAAACACTTTGCCTTCTGCAAAGACCCATTGAAATCAAACCAACTTATATCCTATAACTCCTCATCAGAGGATGAACTGCTCCCCACCCTTTCATCATCACTTTCAGCTGCCCCATTCCCTGCAGCTGAGCACTGACGCCCATCTCTCCACCTTTGCCAGCGTCTTTCAAGACTTAGGTCTTCCCAAGTGTTCCCAGATTGCCAGTCCTCTGCAAACCCCTCAAAGTTATCACTGGATGTAGGCTGAGTACAGATGTCCCTAGTCTCCTGTACATGGGTCCAGTCTAAACCATCCTCCTCTCCATCGTCACTCCCAGTCCCATCACTCCTTTCAAAACCCTCAAAGTCTTCATCTTCTGTTGGAGCGCTAAGTATATAACGCATATGCTTCCTTTGTATCTCCTCATCTGATTCTTGTTCTCGAGTAGCACACTTAATTCCCCTGCTTTCCTCTCCTTCCCCCATTTCACAATCTGAGAAACCCTCGAAGGACTCGGAATCAGTTGGAGCCATGAATATGTCTCTAATCTGCTTTCGCTGCTGCTCCTCCTCCAACACCTGTGTACCATTCACATATATACATGTTTCTCTGTATATTTTATTGATTAGCCCATATATATACATGCTATGCTCACATTGCAATGGGATGCAAATATGTAAGTGTGTTGCTTTTGTACAAGGGTTGAATGAAAAGTACGAGTACAAATAACAATGTATTGTCGAAGGCTTTCATGGCTGGAATCACTAGGTTCTTGTGGGTTTTTTCGGGCTATAGGGCCATGTTCTAGAGGCATTTCTCCCTGACGTTTCACCTGCATCTATGCCAAGCATCCTCAGAGGTATAGATGCAGGCGAAACGTCAGGAGAGAATGCCTCTACAACATGGACCTATAGCCTGAAAAAACCTACAACAATCCAGTGATTCCGGCCATGTAAGCCTTCAACAATGCATTGTGCTTACTTTGTTATTTTTGAATAACAACGTTTTAAAAGTTCAACCAAATATATATTTATGTGTGTTCTATGACTAGCCTTAGGCTAATTGTTTATGATATTACTGGCCTATGATCAGGTTTCTTTACAATTTGGAGATGTTTCTCATTAGAATCCTTGGTCTACTATATATTATTGTAGGCTATGTTTAGCTTTATGTATATGTTTTATATGTACAGTTTTCCAGTACATGGTCCATGGCTCTACTCTCTGAACCACAAATGTACATCCAGTTCTACCTCATTAACCTTCTATTTTGTACCTGGCTACAGTTGGTAGGCCTCAAAATTTTAAATACACCCCCAAAAAACCACAAATTTGACATCACAATCCTAGTCTATTTGAATTCGTGTTGGTGCACACAACATTAGAGGTCACTTTGTAGTCCAAGCTTCATGAGGTTTGCAGTGCTAAAGAATCTTATGCTTCAGCTACTTCAGTCATTGAAATACTATCCCCTTTTGACATTTCAGTGAGAGGACAATGTATCTCAGAAAACTACTAAACAGTGCAATAAATCATTGCCCTTGTCTCAAAGAAAAGAGGTGATAGTAGAATTTTCCAGGAATCTTTTAAAGAATGCTTTATGAACATTTAAAAGAGGTAGGGTACCCAAGAAAGACAACCCCTATTGTTTTTTTAATAATGGAAGTCTTAGTCCCCGGCAGGGTCAGGATTAGAATCATCAATCTCATTATGTCAGCATAAAGGCTGAACATGAGTCATATTCTTTTTATAAATACACTGTGACTGATCCTACAAAGAAACTTAATATACCTTCTTTGCTGCCATAAATTAAAATGTCACGGTGCATCTCTCTTATCTTATATCAGGCTTACAACTTGATAAACAGGACAAGTGAAACAAAAGTATAGCCACTAGCGAACGTAGTCATTGTAAATGCTGAAATGAAGAGATTGTGTGACAGCAAGTTTTCAACTCTGCACAGTATGTTTCAAGGACAGGAAAAAGACACATATTGCATTCTTATATCAGGCTTACAACTTGATAAACAGGACAAGTGAAACAAAAGTATAGCCACTAGCGAACGTAGTCATTGTAAATGCTGAAATGAAGAGATTGTGTGACAGCAAGTTTTCAACTCTGCACAGTATGTTTCAAGGACAGGAAAAAGACACATATTGCATTTTCACTCAGTGTTTTAAGCTTGGATTTTAGCAATACAACTTGTATATGAATGTATGCAGTAGATTGCGCAGGATTCATTTGTTAAATGAATATTTAAATTAGTAAGGGGAGCATTCACACAGTTAAAACTTGTGCACCAGCTGCGCCCGTACCCTGGGAAGTCTGACTTGGCTACGGTAGTCCACGCTCTGGTTACATCCCGTATAGACTACTGCAACGCTCTCTTCGTGGGGCTGCCTTTGAAGACTGTTCGGAAGCTTCAAATGGTCCAAGGTTGTTAACAGGAGCGGCGCTCAGGGAGCATACAACTCCTCTGTTGCGCCAGCTCCACTGGCTGCCAGTTTGCTACCGGGCACAATTCAAAGTGCTGGCTTTAGCCTATAAAGCCCTAAACGGTTCTGGCCCTACTTACCTCTCCGAACGCATCTCCTCCTATGAACCGACTAGGACACTAAGATCATCTGGGGAGGCCCTGCTCTCGGTCCCGCCTGCATCGCAGGCACGCCTGGCGGGGACGAGAGACAGGGCCTTCTCAGTGGTGGCCCCTCGGCTGTGGAATGCCCTACCTGCAGACATCAGATCAGCCCCCTCACTGTTGGCGTTTCGGAGGAAGGTGAAGACCTGGCTGTTCGAACAGGCATTAGATTAGGCAGTGTAATTGATTTATAGGAACATGGAATAATGGATGATGAGACTGGATTCTGATTCTATTGATGAGACGTAAATGATTGTCATATTGATGGGCCGGCAGAACTTTGGATATGCAAAAATGTGGGATAATGAGGGATTAAGAAAAAATAGTTGTTATACTATTGCTTTGAAATGTTCCAAAGATGTTTGACCTGGCCATTTAAACAAGCATTTGATTAAACAGTGTAATTGAACATAGGAATACAGAAAAATGGATGATGAGACTGGATTCTGATTTTACTGTTGAGACGCTAATGATTGTTATACGAATGTTTAATGATTTATGTTACAATTGCTTTTAATTGCCCTATACTTGTCTTGTGATGTTTTGTATTGATGTTGTTCACTGCTTTGAGTCGCCTGAGGGCTGAGAAAAGCAGTATATAAATAAAGTAAATAAATAAACAAACAAATAAAATTAACTACACTTAATACTGGAGGAGCATTATGTACCTTGAGTAATTTCTGTGTTGGATATGATACCAAGAAATAAAGATGTTTCTTCCAGTGGGTACTACCTGAGCCAGTTTCTCCATGAAACCAGTTACAAGCCATGGTTCCTTTCTTCTACTGAGAAATTTCTTTGCCTTACTGGAAACTCTTTTAATCTTCTTTTCCTTCCACTGCTTCATCTGAGGCATCTGAATTAACTGTTCCTGGTAATCATCTGGAAGGATCACATGGTGGAGGTTTGAGCCAGCTTTGGTTAAGGAAAAACAACAAATTGAAAAATTCAGAATGAAACATATTGTGTACAGTTAGCCTATTTGAAAGCCTTTCCTTATTGACTTTACAAAGGGAACCCTTAGGCACAACTTTTTATCCCACTGTTGTTTTATCTTCTTTTAACAATATGTATTCTTGAAGTGATTCCAGGAAATAAGAAACGTGCAGCAGATCAAAGAATAAACCAAGGGCTGAAAGAGCCTTGTCATCGGAGGTTAAAGCAAGGATAGACTGTCTTTTGTGTTTTCCTTTTAACCCTGCTGATTTATCATCCATTGAATATATCTATCAGTTGGCAGACATTAATTATTCCAATCTTTCTTCATTGTGTCTTTTACTTCCCCAAATGTGCTGTGATCGTTGAATAGAGGAACAATCTTGTCAAAAGTTGCTAGCTTTCAATAGCCGGATCTGTCACAGAAGATCCAAAATGTAAATGCATGAATGTTACTGGGTTTTACTAAGAAATGTTCTTGCTCCAGATAGTTCTTCCACAGACAGGATACCAAATCCCCAAATCTTGTTGAAAGCAACATCTGTAGATCTCTCTTCTCCACTCTATCTGTAACATCTTTAAAAATAATATTTGTTTTACGACCTCATCACATTGAGGCTGAAAAGTATTTTCTCCCCATATCTCTGCTCTGCCAGCACATTGCTGGCATGGCGTTACCTGGAGCCCATTAAATGACACAGGGCTACTTCTGGCTGGGCTCTGTGTGGATCTGTACCAGCAGTATGCCAGCAGGACAGAGAAACTGAGTCCAGAAGAGGAAGTGGGGACAGGCAGGGGAACATCATGGAAAGGGAGACTACCTGCACTGACAAGATGTAACAGAACCTGATGGTGTCCCACGATTGCCCCACAATTTCTCCAACTGTCCTTTGCTTTGCCCCTGCCCATGTGATAAAGTTCTTTATATAATGCATTGCTTCACCTCAAGTTGATATCATCACCTGTGGCTTGTTCAAAACAGGGTGCCTTTAAAAAAAAGGAACGTAGGGGGTTGCTGTCGAACTGTAAAATTTTAGTAGAACAGCAGTAAATTTAGCAGTGACATTGACAGCAGAAATGAGTAAGTGAGTGCATATATGCCTCGGAGTCTCATATTCAGATTAAGAAAATTTGGCTTCATGCCCAAGATGAAACTTCGAAGAAGTACTATTTAAAACAGAATGTTGCCTGACTCAGCAGTAAGACTCTCCGTACCAATAAATATAAATAAATATAAATATATATATACAATATATATATTAAAATCATCACAACTCTTTGAGGAACATCTACAGAAAGAAAGAAAACAAAACCTTAAGGGTATACAGACACACAATCTATCCATCTAATAAAGAATGTCATTCTCTTTGTTTCCTTTTTGTAGATGAATACCTGTATTCTGGGACGGCCTCTGATTTCCTTGGCAAGGATACAGCTTTAACACGTTCCCTAGGTTCATCTCAAGACCACCATTACATCAGGACTGATATTTCTGAACATTATTGGCTCAGTGGTAAGCAGAAAAGCAAGTCAGCATTTGATGTATTATCTCTATTTAACCGGTTATATTTTAGCACAGAACATAACCACGTACCAGTTGCAGCCTACAGCAATTTAATGCTAGCTGCTGGCTTCGGTATCAGAGATAATGTTTTTTTATTCCTGAACCTTCAGCACTTTGTGTAGCTAATTTGTATACATCATTCAAAGCTTGGAGTAAAAGCTAGGGTTGATTCACAACTCCATGGTCATTTAAGCTTTCATCTGTTTATCTTTCTGGGACCACCTGCCAAACCAAACACTGGACGAAATGCCTGACCCCAGGGGCAGTCCACATAGATGGCTTGCTGTCCCAGCCGGTCATTACTGGAAGGCGGTTTGGAGGGGACCTCCCCCCCGAAGCATAAAGCCCCATAGGGGAGAGGTGACTCCCCCCCCTCAAGGAACACCCTAAGGAAGATATTTTGGGCACCCCCTAAGCCATAAATCCCATAGAGATAAAATCAAAATTTCCTTCACCCCCGAATGGAGGGATGCCAAGGTGTACGCCGATCCAATCTCTCCCCCCACTTCCCGCCAGGAACTCCTATTTATACAGCTCCACCCATTTAAATTCCTTACTCCTGTCAGCTTCAATATGGGGTAGGCAAAAAACCCTCTTCTCTGAGGAGGGAAAAAAAATCCTACCCGGCCCTAGTGCGACCAGTACAACTTATATTGAACTGAGGGCGGGAGGGTGGGTTGCGCTGCTGGAAGGCCAAATGCAGGGGGGAGGAGGCTACCTGTAAGGGAGGTTTGTAAGGCTCCTCCCCTCTTCCACCTGGCAAGAATGCCAGGCGCAACCAACTGGTCCTTCACAGGGGGATTCAAGTGCTCCCCTCCAGCCATCCATTGGCTCCTTCTGTCTGGAGGTGCGTGAATGTTATAAGCCGATCTTGAGGGATGGTTTCTTGAGTTGCTGTCACTATTGCTCCAAAGGCTCAGAATTTTCTGCCTGTTTTCCCAAGGGCTCGAACTATATGATATATATATGATTTCACTTAGCCCCAATAAACTTTATTTATCCAAGATTCCAAAACCATGATAAAGGTCAAGTTAATTCTGTAGGATTTTGTGTGGGATTTCGAGTGTCTTTTACTGTCCCCAACTGCATTTACTAAATTGTCATTCATCACATGATGTCAACAGTGCACTGCAAAGTAAATGAAAACAAAAGAGATCTTCAACCCAATTGGCTTGATGATCTTACAAAGCTAGTTGCTTCTATACTATAACATGACGGTGAATTGATGAATCGGTGATGGAGTGCACCATAGACTTTGATAGTCTCAGACATGTTCGGCTTTCAGCAGTTATGAGCTTTTGTTGTGTCATTAATCATGTTGGTTACCTCAAAGTAGAGCAGATATATTGATTTAATTGTTGAAGTGGTCAACTTAGTGGCAAGTCTATGGTGCTTGAAACTGGCAACATAATAATAATAATAATAATAATAATAATAATAATAATAATACTTTATTTATACCCTGCTACCATCTCCCCAAGGGACTCGGTGCAGCTTACATGAGGCCGAACCCATAATACATCAGCAAACAACAACAGCAGCAATACAAAACAATATGAAACTCATAAACAAAAAACAGCAGTAAACATTAACAATAGCACCATAACGCGTTAAAAACCTATGGCTGGGCCAAATGTAATAATTAATTAAAAAAATGCTGAGCATGAACAGGTGAAATATATAACTAGGATAGAATTTCAGAGAGGAAAGGGGTGTGCAGGCAATCCTAAATCATTGATAAAGCGCATTTAGGTACATATTGCTAGGAGTTTCCTTATTCTGGGAAGGCACACTGGAACAACCATGTCTTCAGGCTCCTCCTAAAGACTGCCAGAGTTGGGGCATGCCTGATGTCCTTGGGAGTGAGTTCCAGAGTCGAGGGGCCACCACCGAGAAGGCCTTCTCTCTCGTCCCCACCAATCGCGCCTGCGATACAGGTGGGAGCGCGAGCAGGGCCTCTCCAGATGATCGAAGAGATCGTGTGGGTTCGTATACAGAAATGCGGTCACGCAGGTACGCGGGTCCCAAACCATTCAGCACTTTTGTAGGTAAGAACCTGCACCTTGAATTGGGACCGGAAAATGAATGGCAGCCCATGGAGCTCCTTGAACAGGAGGGTTGACCGCTCCCTGTAAGGAGCACCAGTTAACAACCTGGCAGCCACCCATTGAACCAATTGAAATTTCCAGGCCGTTTTCAAGCGCAGCCCCACGTAGAGTACATTACAGTAATCCAATCCGGAGGTGACTAAGACATGGACCACCCTGGCCAGATCCGCCTTCACGAGGTATGATCGCAGTTGGTGCACAAGTCTCAATTGTGCAAAGGCCCTCCCGGCCACCGCCGACGCCTGAGCTTCAAGCGTAAGTGATGAATCCAAGAGGACCCCCAAACTGTGGACCTGTGATTTCAGGGGGAAGTGCAACCCTGTCCAGCACAGGTTGCCACCCTATACGTCTGGTTTACGATCGACCAGGAGGACCTCTGTCTTGTTGGGATTGATCTTCAACTTGTTTGTCCTCATTCAGACAGCCACAGCCGTTAGGCACTCGTTCAGCACCCGAGGGGCTTCCTTGGAATTAGGTGGAAAAGAGTAGTAGAGTTGCATATATAATTTTCAGCAATATATGTCTGAGTGATCAATAGATGTCTCATCCTCCCTTGAGGTTGGATAGCTCTCTTCCTGAATCTATCCTAGTCAGAGAGAAGAAGCAGAAATCTTTCAATCCTAGGGCTGCTGTGATAATCCAATAGGCTTAATGGATATTTTAGTTCTGCTGCTGTGGATAATAATTCCAATCCTATCTTTAAATTTATCTTGTTTACATTCTGCTGAAGGGGGAAAATCAGCAACTACACGTAGTAATGCTTGAGCAATTTGACTATATTTTTACAAAAAGCCACACATCCAAAATTGTTTGTGTATTTCAGATGCTAATTTAGCTAATTTGTTCCTGTGGTTCCTTTAAAAATGATATCCAAGGCACATCATCTATTTGGATGTCAATGGAATAGAGAAGCAAAACATTCAGCAAAGAATAAAACTTTCACTTTCTGTAAAACAACAACAACTTCAAATAAAACTAATATTTAGCTGTTCAACTACTAATCCAAGTATAGTTTGTAGGAATGTTTTTAAAAACGAGGCTGCGTTTATTTATAGTTTCAAAACACAGTCGGAAGAAAATCTCAAACTTCTATTCCCTTAGATAGGATGTCTCTCTTCTGGTTTGTAAAAATACGGATTCTGACTTTAAAAGCCACTAAGGAAGCATTAAAAGAGTTTCTTAAATAGAACCCCTGCTTTTTTGTTCATATTGAAATCTCGAGGGGGAAGAAAAACCTCAACAACTAATGGACCCTTAAAAAAACCCTCCATATCCGTCCATTGCAGCAATAGCCAAAACCACACACATAGAAAGAAAGAGAAATTTACACACAAAACTACAACTGGATGTTTAAATGTGTTTCTTTTGGCTGTTAAGTGTCTCTTCCACTGAGAACATGACTTCCCATGATTCCAGTTTTCTATGTGGTTGTTATGGATGAGCTGCAAAGCAAAGATCTTCTGACCATAACAGCACGGTGACTTCTGCACACTGTACAAAGGACTTTTGTGCATCTAGACAGCGCTTTGATTTTTCATATTCTTCTTCCTTGACAAACTTTATGCCTGTCTATTTATTGAAGCACTCCCTTTACCTGTAGCATGTGAGACTGACCTAAGAGGCATCACATGTTCACTAGCGACCTCATCACATTGAGAGGGGAAAGCATGGTGACTATTCTTTTAGCATAGATAATGCATGACAGCCAGAAGTTATGAGCTTAGTACCTCTCCATTAGGGCTGGGCGGTTTCGTTTCGTAATTTCGTAATTCGTTAAAAATTCGTTATTTTTTTTTTGGTTACGAAGCGATAACTAACCATTCAGGAGCATCTAAAAAACGAAACAAATTTTTCAATTCGTTTCGTAATTGCTCCGTATTCGTTTCGTATTCGTTTCGAAATCGTTCCAAAATCGTTTCGTTATTATTTCCGCATGTCTGGGGCAAGTTTTATAGCTGTTGTTTGTTTAATCAGTGAAAAAAAATATAAATATCACACCAACAGTCAACAACAGAGGGAGAGGAGAGGGAAGCTTCAGAAGTTCCCCCTGTCCCATATGGAGGTTTTTTAGCGTATTGCGCAGTCGCGTCCGCCATTAATGAATTGTTTCGTAATTTTACGAAATTTCGTAAATATCGAACTTTTTTAAATAAAAATTTTGGAATTCTTTTAAATATCGAAACGCAAAAAAACCCAAAAAACGAATCAAGTTTAGAAACAATTTTTTCCATGGTTGCCCAGCCCTACTCTCCATGCTTGAGAAGAGGTGGAAGTGTCCTACAACTTGGGAATTTCTCAATGTGGTAAGGTCGTAAGTGAACTCTATTGTAGCATAAACTTGAAGTTGATGTCTCAGGCTGTCACCCACATCAGTTTTTTTAAGGTACTTACGCATATATCTGCCCAGTCTCCACATTCAGCTCAATACTTCTTTTCAATCTTATCATAATATGTTCACGTCAAGCCTCTATGTTTAAATATCAGCATACTAATAGCAGTGATGATGATGATAATGGTGATTATGCAGTTGCTGTTCAGTGACATTATTGACATTCCCCAATACTGGGATCCAAAGCAGGTTACAAAAGTTACAGATTACAAAAAATGAGAATATATATAAAGTTGTTAGTAAAACAAAATCAATTAAACAGATCTTTTAGAAGAAGTGAGGCTAAGCATGTGGCCTTGAAGCCCATTGAAACTTATTATTATTATTATTATTATTATTATTATTATTATGTTTATGTTTATTATGTTTATTTATATCCTGCTGTTTCCTCTGCATAAGGAGACTCAAAGCAGCTAACATTAAAAGCATTACAATACAATTTAAAATATACA